AATACCGAGTTTTGTTTCCGGCCCTTAACGTGTCCCATTTGCCGCTTGTGTATTGCAGGAGATTTACCAGTGGTGCGGATCGACATGCAACAAATATGAACGTTTTAAGGCCGCGCAGGTCGCCAACGGCATCCGCGACAATGAGAGAAAAGGGCGAGCCCAGCTCATCGTTGTGGAAGAAGATGAGGAACCGAGCGAACTCACAAAGGTATTTCTTATGGGGCCACTTAAGAAAGCGGACTGCTTTAAATTGCACTGGAGTAAAAAAAATTGCCCAATGACCGTACCCCTTTGTCGGGGGCTCCTTTGTACTTTATCGGCATGTTGCAGTTATTAGGAGGGGGTGTCATACACTTGTGCAGATTGCGTGGTGAGCTACAGACAGTGCTTTCGAGATAGAAGCGGGTGGCGGAGCCCGTGCTGCGGGCGGATATAGTAGGCAGCAGCCGGGTGAGTCACCAGGTTGAGGTTTTGTCTGCACGCAGGCTCTGGTTGTATCCTGCTGCTCACGTATAGGGAACTTCTCTTCTCTGCTACATTTTTAGTCAATAAAACAGCCTAACAAACAAGGGAGAATGGGAGTCCTCCACAGCTGCCTGCCAGTCATCTAAGGGGCAGAAAGGTGACAGGTACACTTTGGAGAAATCAGTGCACATGCCACAGTTTAGATGCTGGAGAGTTGAAGTGTATCTAAACTAGGGATGCACACACACCGTTTTTTCGGTCTCGAGCGCCGAAGTTTTTTTTTTTTTTGGTACTCGCCAATACTGAATCCCATTACTGGAATACCCAATACTGGAAATCCCATTAAGGAAGCCGGGCAGCGTGCCATTACCCGCCGTCCGGCTTCCTTAATGGGACTTCAGGTATCGGTATTCGGTATCAGCTAGTGATTAGCCAGGAAGCCGTCTCCATGCTCCCTCGTCACTTGGAACATGGAGCCGGATTTCTGGCCAATCAGGAAGCCAGGGGTCAGGTAATGACTCGCCGCCCGGCTTCCTGATTTAGCCGGGAAACCGTCTCCATGCTCCCTCGTCACTTGGAGCATGGAGCCGGCTTTCTGGCCAAGCAGGAAGCCAGGGGTCGGGTAATGACTCGCCGCCCGGCTTCCTGATTTAGCCGGGAAACCATCTCCATGCTCCCTCGTCACCTGGAGCATGGAGCCGGCTTTCTGTGCAAGCAGGAAGCCAGGGGTCGGGGAATGACTGGACGCTCGGCTTCTTGATTGGCCAGCTTCCTGACCAATCAGCAAGCCTGGCTGTGAGTCATTACACGCCGCCCAGCATCCTGATTTACTGGGAAGCTGGCTTCATGCTCCCTCGTCACCAAGTGATGAGGGAGCATGGAGCCGGCTTTCCGGCCAATCAGAAAGCCGGGCGGCGTGTGATGACTTGCCGCCCAGCTTCCTGATACCGGGAGTGTCAATATCAGGATAAGTATTGGGAGCATTTGGGCGAGTACAAGTACGAGTACTCGCCCAAATACTTGGTATCGGCACTGGTGCATCCCTAATCTAAACCCAAGGAAAAAAAATGTCATGTGTCACACTTTAGATGCTGGAGAGTTAAAGTGTATATAACACTAAGTACAAAAATGTAATACATTGCAGGCTAGATGTGAATATCTGGAGTCATGGTCAATAATGGGGCAACAGCTGATTTTAATTTGGCCCTGCAGTGGTGACTGCTCATCTCTCTCTCCCCTCCACTCCAGCTGTGGTAGATTCCTCGGCATCCTCACGGCTAATGCAAATCAATGGATCTGCTTAAGACGTGATGATGTCAGCAGACCTTAGACCGCCGGAGCCCGAGAAAGATGAGGCTGCGGGTACCGTTCTAGCAGCAGATCAGGTGAGTATATCTGCTTTATTTGCTCTAAATGAGGACTTAACCCTTGCAGTGAGGGGCTAGCCACACTGCAAGGGTTAGTTTTTTAAAATCCTGGATTTCCTCTTTAACATAAGGGGTAGTTGTTCTGTAGTCCTCAGAATAAGAGTTAGGTTTTTCCAAAAGACCAGTTTAGCAGTCCCAGTCTAGTTATCTTCATGGCATGGCACAGTGGTGTCATTTCATTTCTCTGTTATTTTAGCACACCAATGGATTGCATGCGAGGATTGCAGAAATGAGGATGTGTCTTTTTGTTTATTGTCATTGTATCACCACATGACCACTTCCTGTAGGCGTACGATGTTCGCGCTGCTGATCACAGTCGGCAAATAACACCACAGCGACTCTTTTCTCACAGCTTTGTTCAGGAAACATCCACGACCAATATAAATGAAATGAAAAACTGTAATCACTAATATATGTACTGTGTGTATATATATATATATATATAATCATACTGCCCAGCGAATTGGGGGTCCCCAGGTGACAATAGGGGTCTAATAGACCTCTGATGTCTCGATAAAGATGACCAGTCACTCTATCTGTAAGGGGTTTGTTAGCCCCCCATGTGATAGCAATAAAGATAATTGTAAAAAAAATTAAAGTCATGTATACAAAAATACATGAAAATATAAAAAAAAATAAACTTTTTTATGTCCCCCGCCCCTACATACACCCATATACAAACTTAAACATACGTTGGTTGCGCCTACGCGTGAGAACGATGATTGCGGTGCACATGTTACATATCACTGCGAACATCAGAGTGCGAGTAATAATTCTAGGGCCATCAATCACACTGATAACACTAAATTGATGAGCGGTAAAAGCTTTCCTTGTGTCACCTGTGGCCAGTTTTCGGTATGGTAATTTTTTGTGATTTCGCAGGCGCACACAATTTTAAGGCCTGACATGTTTGGTGTCTATTTAACCGACATGACTCCGTCTTTTATATTTTAACCAAAAAAATTGGGTATTAAAGGAGAACTATGAGGTGAGTGTTTTTCACTCACCCTCATAGTTAGAGCCGACCTGTCACAGTTCGGCTCTATAGATTGGGAAGTGAGCAGAAACATGCACCGATCTGCTCACTTCCTGATCGTCTCCCTGCAGTGAGCGCAGACTGTCAGTCACCGCTCACCGGAGGGATTCCTCCCTCCCCTCTCCGATCCTCCAGAGCTGAGTGGAGGAATGCACGGTGGAGAGGGCGGGCACAGCTGGCTCTGCCTCTAGATAGGCAGAGCCCGCTGTCACTCACGCAGCTGGGTGGATCTCACCAGCATTGTCGGGATCCGTCCCAGCTGCGCCGCTGTCAGTATATCATGGGCAATAGCCAGCTATATACTGAGCTTTGGGTCAGGGGAGGAGGTTAGTATATGTCCTCCCGTGACCCTAAAGAGAACTATGGGGAAAAACACTTACCCCATAGTTCCCTTTTAATAAATGTTTCATAATACAACAAAGGGAAAACAGTGTTTTTTCTTACATTTTCGGTACTTTTTTCTTTATATAATAAAAAATAAACCTGAAAGAAAGCTCTATCTGTCCCCCCCCAAAAAATGGTACAACATTCATTTCAGTACAGTGTTGCATGACGGAATAAATGTCAAAGTACCACAGCGCTGAACACTGAAAAATGGGCTGGACAGAAAGGGGGTGTAAACACCGCGGTCAGCAAGTGGTTAAAGGGATACGTAATGTCATTAATTTCAGATATACATGCGGAATGGGTCTTAGTTCTTTAGGGACAGTTTGCAATGATACATGAACATGGGGGGCAGCCATATTTGATTACATATTCAGGCTCTGCTTCCGGTTTTAAAGATGGATTTTGGGATATCTGGGCAAATCAGAGTAACAGAAAAACTGAGTCAATTAGTAAACTTTATCTGTCACAATGTTCACAATACGACAATATTCTGTAACATATATGTAGGCGGGTAACGGGTTGCATGTGTAGAGCTCATTGAGGGTATAATAATATCAGCCATAAAGATATATGACATTGGATATACGACCAGAAAATCCGACGCTCCAATAAAACGTGATATATATAGCTGGATATTGCAGAGAGCTGTTGTGACATTGCTAAGGAATCCTTTTAATGACTTGTTAAACATCAACTGACTTTGTGTGACAACTCAGAGTGCCAAACTGACACTTCCTGAAATGCGTGTGATCTGGTGGCCTGACTGTCCTCTGCTGCAGTTAAAAGAGAACTAAAGCAAAACAATTTTTCTTTGGCTATAGTTCTCTATGGTAGATTTTCCAACATACTGCTGAGATCTAAACGGGCTATTGCCTGCTATATGCTGCCAGTGCAGAGCCGCGCTGCGGCCGGTGTTCTATCAAAGATTGTGACTGCGTTAGAATGTGTGACCGGTGACGTGGTCACACATTTTAACATAATTCCGCCCAGTTTTTCAGCGGGGGAATGTGTGACCGGCAAAAGGTGTAGTATTCAAAGCTTTCTCAGCTGTTCCAGGGCAGATCGACATCGCAGATGGTATGTGACCCTAAAGAGAATTATGGGGAAAAACATTTACCTCAAGGTTCCCTTTTAATAAATGTTTCATAATACAACGTAGGGAAAACAGTGTTTTTTCTTACATTTTCGGTACTTTTTTCTTTATATAATAAGAAATCTGATCGGTCCTAAAATTCCGCTTCTATCTGACTTTGTGAGTGCGATCTGACCTTTCACAAAGTCAGATAAAAGTGAGATTTCAGGACCGTTAAGCTGTTCCAGGGCAGATCGGTTCTCCTGCACATACCATCTTCGATGCCCATCTGTCTTGGAACAGCTGAGAAAGCTTTGAATTCTACACCTTTTTTCGGTCACATATTTTAACCCCCCAAAAAATGGGGGCATGACTGCGCTAGAATGTGTGACCACGTGACCTGTCACACATTCCAACCCTGTCACAATCTTTGATAGAACACCGGGAAGGATCCTGACTATTATGTTGGGATCCACTCCACTGCTTGATTGACAGCTGGCTCTGCCTCTCTAGAGCCAGAGCCAGCTATGCCCGCCCCCTCCTTTGTCTGTTCCTACAATGAGCGAAGGAAGGGAGTGACCGCCACGGACCACTCTCTGCGGAGAGAAGCCATGAGCTGAGCGATCAGTGGTTTGTGATCTTAGGACCTATATGTTTGGTGTCTCCCTTCAAGAACATTTCTAAAGAAGGTTACATTGTACATCACTGATGGCACATTGTAGAGTCTCAGCTCCTGCGTACCGTACAATGTAACTTCCTTGAACTGATTACATCGGGCCTGCCGAGAATTGTGGTTTTGCAGTTGAATTCCTCAGCAGTGA